ATACAATTATAATTAATTCCCAGGTTTTGAACCCTAACCCTCATCTTGCCTCCCAAGTTCCCAGCCTCCCCATAGTTCTACAGGACAAATAGGTGCAACATCAGCCTTTTGCCTTTGGCCCCAGTTCAGCTCCCTGTGGTTATCTGATCCTGCTGGCTCCCTGGGCAGGATAGCTGAGCGCCTGGTTCTGAGGTTCACTGTGGACTGGGTCTAAGCCCTGACTCTACTGCTTACTGTGTGACCTCAGGCAACTTCCATTTCCTGACCTACCAGATTAAGTTGCTAAGTAAAAACCACCTCGATGTGGTGTGGGGATTATGACTATGCCGTCACTGAGCTGTTCCTGGCATCGGGAAATGCTCGATAAATGGTAGTCAGAGTCATTGCCAAGGCTCTCAAGGCTGATTTATGAAGTTTCTTCCAGTGCTAAGCATCCTTGACAGTTCTATGCCTGCAATGTTAATTTCTAGAATAATTAGACTGAATGATAAAATCAAGCAAATGAGTTTCTCAGGCAAATGCTGCCTGGCACATCCCAGTAGCCCATGTAAGGATGGATGCATTTATTGCGAGAAGAGTTGAAGCAAGTTCTAGCAGTGAGCATCGCTTCCTCGCCACGGTTACCCCAAAGGCCATCATGCCCCACAGCAGGGATCAAAAGAGTTAGTCTGTGTTGTACAATCTTATGGATCAGAACCAAACTCACAAGCCTGCTTTGGGGATTCACGTTTAGAGCAGACATAAATTGCAGCCTTGGGCTAATTCTTTGCCTTAGAACATTTTCCATGAAAATATTCTTTTCCTTTAAAAAAATGTTTGAAGGACAGGGTGTTCCAAATCAGTGAATCGCTTTTAGCTATAAAATGGAATGAATGAGGTGATATCGGTGAAAATGGCAAAAGACCTCAACAAAACAAAACAAACAATTTCACGAAAAGCAACGAGAACATGGTCAAAAGCATCAGTATTGGAATCAACTGGTTCCTGCTGTTTCACACACCAGGCTGCTTGTCCTACAGGATGCTGGCCTGAACTGAAAGGACAATTTTAATTGAGTTGCTCTCTTTTTTTGGGGGGGGGGGAACCCAAGTTCGATCCCTGCTACCAAAAAAAACAACCATGTATTTCAAAGAAAATACAATGTCACCCAGTGCAGGGGAACCTGGGGTCTCCACTGCTCCCAAAGCCAATGGAACACAGGCATTTATCTCTCTTCCTCTCAAATAACCTCTGACACTCACCTACACACACAGGCAGAAAGAGCCAGGAGAAGAGACCATAGCCCACAGAGATGATGACACGTTGGGAAGCTATGAAGTGGTATCAAGGAACTACCTGCCTTAGCAGGGTAGAGAAAACATGCCCAAGTGCCTAGGGAGGGCTTGTCCCTGAGAAGTGGGTTGATTGGCTCTGCAGAACCCAAGATAGGAAGCTCAGGCATTTGGAGGAGAGGGGCTGTCAGCAGGAAGTCTGGGGGAACATTTTCACCCCTGGTCCTGCCCCACCTGAGCCCCTTCCCATTCGAGATGGTCTTCTGGGGAGAGGGCAGCACAGTCCTGGACTGGAGCCTGAGGCACAGTGAGGACAGGGGCCTTTACTGCATGATGGAATCTGGTGAGCTTCTCCGCACTGACGGAGACCGCCCCCCCTCCTTCCCTCTCTAGGCCCCCACAATGCTGGTGACCAGCCTATATCCCAGGGAAGGCTGACTTGTCTTTCTGAGGCAACTGACCTGTCCTAGAGAAAAGATGTTCACAGGCCACTAAGGGAAAAGCAGTCCTCACCCAGCTATTTAACCGTGAAGCTCACCTGCAGAGAATCCCCACCTGTATTCTTGTGTGGCTGCTGCAGCAAATGACTATAAACATGGTGGCTTAAAACAACAGAAACATACTCTCTTCTGGTCCTGAAGCCTGAAGTTGGAAATCAGTTTACCAGGCTGAAATCAAGGCATCAGCGGGCCAAGCTTGCACTGGAAGCTTTTGGGAAGAATCTGTTCTTGCCCTTTGCAGCTGCTGCTGGCTTCCCCCTCCAAGTCATTCTTATAAGGACACTTGTGACTGCACTGTGATCCTACCTGGTAATCCAGAATAATTTCCCTATCTCAAAGTTCTTAACTGAATCATATCTACAAAGTCTCCGCCAGATAAGGGCACATTCATAGGTCTCAGGGTCCACAGCTCCCATAGGCCCCTAGGATATGGACACGCTTTTTGCTTACCCTACTATACCTCCACCCATATCAGGAGGGAGAGCTTTCAAATCAGGCTTTTACTTTCTCACACTGAAATGTTCATGAGATCAAACATTGCTTCCATCCTTAACAGATATCTGAATTTCTCATTTTATGAATTGTCCATTCATGGCCTTTATCTGTTTTATTTTTATTTTGCTGTTTTTCCTATTAAGAGAATTTTATCAATAAGGTCAGTGACACTTTTTTTTTTTTTTTTGCAGTGTTGGGGTTAAGTTCTACAATTGAGATATCCCCACTAGCTACCTGCTGTTTGTTGAAAATACTTTTCCTAATTTGCATTTGCCTTATTTATTTTGTTTACAAGTTTGTATTTTGAGACACAAAAAATTTAAATCTTCTGTAATCAAATTTCCTTTGAAATTTCATTCACTGCTGTTATTTCAGAAAGTCTGCCTTACCCTAAAATTAGACATATACTCATATATTTTCTCCTGGTTTTATGATTTCTAAAGTACCTAATTCTATAATCAATATGGAACTTATAATGTGTGTTACAAAGCAAGAATCTAACATTTTTTTCCAACTTAATCAGTTGTCTAGCATCAGCTCAATTGTCCCTCCCTTTCCCTACTACCTTGTCAAATGTCCTGACCAGCATAAACTCTTGAATACTCTAGGATGTGTTTCTGAGCCCTGTTCAGTTATCTTAATTCCTGTCAGATATTTACTGTATCATTGGTTAAGATTCCAAGATTGTTATTACAAATAGAGTCCCTCAAACCACCACAAAATAATTTTACATTTTCTTATTCTTCCAGATTATATCATTATTATTTTTTTTTTTTTCTTTTTGGTACCAGGGATCGAACTCAGCTCCTTGCACTTGTGAGGCAGGTGGCAGAACCACTGAGCTAAATCCCCAGCCCCATTATTCATTTTTGATGCCTATTCATTTAGCTACTAATCTAGAAGAGTTTTTTTTATCATAACTCATGTACATGCATTTGGAAATATTTAAAAACAGAAAAACTTCCACATTTTGAAAGAAAAACTAGAGATACTTTCCCTTTTTGTTAACACAACAATCCATTGAATATCTCTGCTGATTTTATTAGCTAATTCAACAAACACTATGTACCAGCCACATTCTAGGTGCTGGGAACACAGAACAAAAAGATAAAAGCCCTTGCCTTTGTGAAGTGTACATTCCGCCAGAGAAGACAGATAAAAACAGAATAGGTAAATTGTAAAATGTAGTGTATCAGACAGTTAAGGATGCTACAGGGGAAAATGAATGCAAAGAGGGAGCCTGGGAATTCTGAGTTAGGCGAGTAGGAAAGATCTAAGAAGAAAGCCGAGGAGCCTGATTTCTAGGCCTCCTCCTTGCCCAAGGCTGCCTTTAATCCTGAGCTTTCGCTAGAAGTATTTAAAATAACAACATTAACAATAGCAGCCCCTGTGGCTGAGCTCCTGCTCTGGGCCAGAGTCAAGGCGGGCTGCTGCTGCAAACACTGCCAACCCTCCTGAAGGTCCTGCCTCAGGGACATGAAGCTAATTGCCTTGCCACGTGTTCCCAAAACCTTCCTCGGTGTGGATCCCTTGAGAGTTGGTTCTGTGCCCCCACCCGTGCCCCAGCTTTCATTTCACCCCTTGGAAACCAACCTCTGGGTCAAAGAAGGAGCTGCTGCCAAGTCTGAAGGGAGGGAATCTTCTGAGGCCCATGTTCTACCAAGAAATTTCCAAGAGGATGGTGAAGTAATGTCCCAGGACCACAAAGCATCAAGCTAGAAAGCATCCCGTTTACCTTGCAGGAGGAAGACAGACTGTACCAGGAGGTTTATCCCCAAAAGGCAAAAAAAAAAAAGCAACAGGTGTATTTGACCTTACTGAGAATTTACAGTTCCCTTGAGAAGGTGGGGTCCTTAACAAACTAAGCAAGCCACAAGTAAAGCAGTTATTGACTCTAAGAAAATGGCAAGTTCAAGAAACTTAATTGCAATATACTATAAGGCTGAATTGAGAGCAAAATTAAAATATATCAAGCACATATACTGAGATAGAGTGTGATGTAACTAGTGAGGGATAGGGGAAGGGTTTTATGTGGTGGAGATTTGAGAACTACAGGCTCATATTCCATACTCAGGACTAATGCTTAAACTAATGCTTTTTTTAAAAAAAATTAATTAAATGGTAGTGGTATAATGCTGTTATTTGGCAATATAGATGAAAACACCAGAGAACTGGCTAAACTTGTTGCAAGTTATGCCCTCAAGGAAATGGATTATGGGGGTGGTGAGGAACAGAGGCTGCTGTGCTGTGATTTATGGCACCAAATGGTGTTTAACCACGGACTGGTATTGTTTTGGTGAGAAGAAAAATATTTTAGAAAGCATGTTTGATCATGTTTTTTAGCCTGATGGCCAGACACTGACATTGCACAAGGAAGATCTTTTTTAAAAAGTAATTTTTTACATTAATAAATAGAAATTGTAATACATGTATCATGTATACATTGTGGAATGACTAAATCAAGTTAATTAACATTTGCATTTACTTCACATATCTTGACTTTCAATAGTACAGTTATTAATATCATGTTGTACAGGAAATTTCTTGACAAAGTTGAGACATTTTCTTCTATAAGGTGACACAAATAGGTTTACATGAAAATTCCCAGTGTATCTTCAGATATACTTTAAGTATATCTTAAATCAGGTGTAATGGGCAAAATGTTAGTATATCAAAAGGAATCAGTATATATTGTAACCATCAAATTCATCATGAGTTAACAGTCTACACTTACAGGAATGAAATAGGTGGTTGGGAATCTTTGAACTGCAGAACGAAATATGAAGTTCCTAAAATATTTTTTAAAAATGATTTTTCTAAATATATTTTTTAAAGATCTGTTAATTTGCTTCCTCTTGTTACATATTTAAAACACTAATCTAGATATGAGATGCCAAAATAAGGTTTAAACACTGTAAATACTGGTTTGTAAGTAAGTACGTAAATAGGGAGGCCTAAGTGAGATGATTAAAAGTAACTTTTTTTTTTTTTTTTTTTTGTGGTACTGGGAATGGAACCCAGGATGCTAGGCAAGTGCTCTACCACTGAGCTACACCTCTAGCCCTTTTGATTTTTTATTTTGAGACAGGGTCTCACTAAGCTGCCCAGGGGGACATCAAACTTGTAATCCTTCTGCCTCAGTCTCTCAAGTAGCTGGGATTACAGGCCTGTGCCACTGTGCGTGGGTAAAAGTAACTTAACTAATAAGTACTTAATTACCTGGAAGGGCACTTGGGAACTGGTTTAGGAAGAACCTCATACTGCCCCGGGGAAAGCCGAAGTGACTACAGAGAAGCACACGGACAAAACAATAGATTAGTACAGGTCATAAACACACTGTGTTATCTGTCATTCATAATCCTTTAAGGCCATGCAACATTACTGTACATCATTTATTTTCTACTTTAATAGTGAGAAATGTACACTTTAAAAGGTGAAGGTTCCGAACCGTCAACGTGTATTAATGTTTTTTATTTTTTTGAGTAGCAGAGATTGAACTCGGGACCTTGCGCTTGAGAGGCAGGCACCAGAACTACTGAGCTAAATCCTCAACCCAATGTGTATTAATTTTTCATGGTAAATTTTGTAGAAAATATGCCTCAAATGTTGCATGGGAAAGTGCTAATTGATCCCCCCCCCCCCCCAGTTCTGGGGATTGAATCCAGAGGCTTCACACTGAGCTACATCCTGATCCCTTTTTAAACTTTTTAAAATTTTGAAACAAGGTCTGGCTAAATTGCTAGATCACCTAGGCTGGGTGGGCACCAACTTGTGATACTCCTGTCTCAGCCTCCCAGAGTGCTGGAATTACAGGCATTTGCTACCACACCCAGAAAATGGATTATATTTTGAATTTGCTAGATTCAACAAATCAGTTCCACTCTTTGTGACTTAGTGCTGGTGGTGGGGAATACAGTGGAGGAGAGACATGATCAGCGGTCCCTGACCAGACCAAGTGAAGGCACACGAGAAACAACCCCAACAGAAAACACGAGTCAGTGCTGAAACAAAGTAAAAATAAAGGAAGTCGTGCGAGCCAAGGACAATAAAGATGACAAGATGTGAGGAAGGCATTCAAGAAGGGAGGACTTCCAGAGGGCAGCCAGGGAGGGTGTTCCAAAACGGGAGAGCTTTCCAGAGACAGTGTCTGTGCCCTAGGGAAACCTGCTGCACACTCCCTGGGGGCTCCCTGCCCCTGGGAAGGCTGCTTCCTGCAGGGAGCCAGCTTCCTCCATTTCCCGGTATTTGTCATAGGTGAGACCTTAGGAAACAATACTCCATCTTTATCCGTCACCTGGAGGTTCGGCTTTACCCAGCCGCCATGTTAGTACAGTATAGTGTATAGTATACCCAACCCATGTTAGTATACAATTTTGACCACAGAGGCAGCTTTTCGCGGAGCACCAATGACAGTACAAACTTTATGATGACATGTACACACTGTCCTGATGCACCTGTGCCCGGTTAATTGCCCACTCGACACAAACACCGAGGAAACCAAGGTATTTTCGTATCATACCAAAGAAGTACAGAAACATCCAGAGCGCTTTTGTGGGAGCAGCGATATCCTGTTTCTTGATTTTGATGATGGTTCACGGACGTTGCTTTCCATTCACTTTAAAGCGTGTTTATATGCTCCTCACTCCCTCTCCTCCTCTCTCTGTCCCACTCCCTCATTCTTTTTTTCCTCTCTCACCCACACACAAGAAAAAAAAACCTGAAAACGGGGAGCTTTAAGGCAGCTGTTTATCCATCTACATTTAGTGATTCACATAAGATTTTTTCAACAAAGCTCTCATAGGAAACCTGCTAGTCTGGACAGAACACTGCACCTGCAGCATCCATATCTGTCCTGCTGTACTTGGCACTGCCCATTTTTGCCATCTAACATGACTGAGAGGAGGCTGACTTTTTCCATAAAGTCTTGAGTAGGCAGCCATTTGTGAAGAGACTGCCCGTCTGGGCATCACTAAACTTGTTGTACACGGTGTGGGTGGCTGTGTTGTTCTTGGGTCATAGGTTTGCCACCCCTGTCTTAGAAGGTAAAGAGAAAATGGAGATGATGTAGGGTTTGGTCAATGTGTTGGTTATTCTGGGTCTTTTGCTTCTTCACAATCAGCATCTTGATAGCCACAAATTAACTTGCTGAGATTTGTACTGGGATTAGACTGAATCTAAAGATCAAGTTGGGAAAAAAATACATCTTGACAATATGACAATACTTATCTTGCTGTTTATGAACATGGAAATATGGAAAATCTCTCCCTTAGTTTTCTGATTTCCTTCATACCGAGTTTTGTGGTTTTCCTCATACAGATCTTTATATTTTGTTAGATTTATGTCTAAGTATTTCACTTTTGGGGAATGCTAATGGAAACATCATTGTGTGTAACTCCTCTAGCAATATTTTATTTCATAATGCAAATAATCCTGTCATCATGAACTTTGACATATGTACAGTTTGAGAAGGGAGAGAAGTAGATTCATTTCATCTAAACTCACAATGTTTAGGTAGATGTTTGTTCAATGGAAGAAAGAAAGTCATTTTTTTAAAATGGTTTTGTGGGGCCAAGGATTTAGCTCAGTGGTTTTGCCACCTGCTGCGAAAGTGCAAGGACCCGAGTTCAATCCCCAGTACCTAAATAAATAAAAATGGTTTTGTGTTTTCTTTTTCATCTTCTGTTTTTGCGGTACTGGGAATTGAATCCAAGGCCTTCGCACTGAGTTATATCCATGGCCCTTTTAAAGTTTATTTGGAGACAGAGTATTGATTGCTAAGTTGCTAAATTGCCCAGGCAATTCATCAGTGACTACCTGCTCCTGGCCCAGCCACTCTGTCTGTGTGGCCTGCTATGATAAATTGCAATTCTGTGTCTCAGCCTGCATTTCTCCGGTTCTGTGGGCAGCAGTTTTTCCTGTGACTTCTCTTATAGCTCTAACAGCATTGACTCTTCAAATTGTTTAGCTTTCAACCTGTTGTTAGGCTGGAATTGCAATTTACATGCAGAACTGGAAACCAGAAAGCAGTGTGGCACTATTTTGGGAACAGTACCATAAATAGTTCCATAAATAGGGGGAACAGTAGGAAACTGACTCTCACCCCTCTGGAAGCTCTACCAGCATAATCCAAAGGTGAGTGCAGCCAAGGGCTGGTGGGTGCAGTGTTTTCATGCACCACTGGTAGAAATTTCACGTTGTGTCTATTCTCTCTGAGGAGCAAAGGATCTTAGCTCTGTGTCATAGAGGAACATCAGTGACTCACTGCTCAGGTATCTCTGAGTCTGAGAAATAGCACAGGTTTTTCTCACAAAAGAAGCATGTCTAGTAGTGCCAATGACACTGTTCTAATTTCCACAAAGAACCACAAGCTCTCCATATTCAACTTTCAGACTTGTCATTTGCCACACTTGGCATATCTATGTGACAATCATTGCTTTGCCTTTGCAGTGGCTCTCTGAGTTCAGCCTCAAAAATATTTCAAAATTAAGACAACTTTGAGCAGCATATTTTTTCATTTACATGAACAATGAATTGTTTCATCTGATCTACATTTGGCTGTCATCCAGATATTTAAGTCTTAAGTCTTCTGAGTGACCAGCACCCTCCCTACCCAACCAAGTAACTTCTCTATAGGAGAGCTAATGCCCCTGCCTGGCTACTTGCTTTGACCTGAGACAGATCCTGGAGCAGGGAGGGGGATAGGATCAACACATTATTTCCTTTTACATGAACTTCATCTTCCAAAGCAATACTAAAGCTAACTAGGACAGAAGCTGAAGACAATTTTTAAGTTCACTGTTTAATTGACTTTCATTGAAATATTCCCAACCTAGAAAGTAAAATAAAATTTCAAGAATGGTACATATAAAGAAAGAAAATATTTTAGAGAACAAAAATATTGGAAAAAAATTTTTAGTTCTTTATGAATGTGCATGATTGAAAAAGTATTATTTTCACATTGAAAACAATTCAAGATCTACAGAATGAAAAATAGCAAGTTTCCTTATGACTCATCTATCCTCTACTTTCCGGATGTAAATAATCACTAATAATTATGTAAGTATCTCCCAAGAAGAGTCACAATTTCCCCTTCCTTCCTTCCTTCCTTCCTTCCTTCCTTCCTTCCTTCTCCCTCCCTCCCTCCCTCCCTCTTTCTTTCTTCCTTCCTTCCTTGTGGGAATTTTGAACCTAGCAGATTCTAATGCATGCTAGGCAAGCACTCTACCGAGCCACACCCCCAGCCCTTTTTATTTTGAGACAGGGTCTCGCTAAGTTGCCCAGGGTGGCCTTGAATGAACCAGCTACAATATATTTCTAAAAAGAAAAATTTCTGGGCATGGTGGTGCATGTCTATAATCCTAGCACTTGGAAAGCTGAGGCAGGAGAATCACCACAAGTTTGAGGCCAGCCTAGACTATATAGTGAGTTCAAGGCCAGCCTGAACTATATAAGCAAGACCTTGTCTCAAAAAACCAAATTTTAAAAAGAAAAAGAAAACTTTTTGGTTTTACAAACAGACTAGGTTATTAAGATAATGCACCTTCCCATAGCAGACAACTAGAATGGAGGGATAAAATATTAACTACAAACAAATGAGAGGTTTTGGTTTTTTTTGAGACAGGGTCTTGTTATGTAGCTCAGGCTGAGCTTAAACTCACTAGCCCAGGCTGGCCTTGAACTCGAAGCAATCCTCCTGCCTCGGCCTCCTGAGTGCTGGGATTACAGGTGTACACCACCATACCATACCCAGCACAAATGAGAGTTTTTAAACTTGCCAACAAGATAATGGAGAATTATAAGACCTCAAACCAAGACAGCCAGAAAGCAGGGAGGTAAGTGGCCCAATTTAGCTCACAGGATATGAGACATGATTGCTAGGTGAAGGGGGCTGAGTCCAGACTGAACTGAACTCAGCAGAACAAAAACAGAGCTGGGTTTGAGGGAACTGTAGAGCCCTGGAAGGCATCCAGAGATCAAAGCCTGGGCTATCAATGACGGGATAGTGGAATCTAATGGGAGCGCTTACCATATGAATTTGAGATCCTAAAAAGGCACCTCCTAAAAGCAAACCACCTCACTCCATCGCCAAGAGGACTATAGAGTTGCTCTGGTGCTAAGCAGAATGAGGAGAGGGAAGGAAAGACATCTCTGAGGGTTTATAACCATGAGCGGGTCCTTCATGGATTCCAGTCCATCCTCCCACCACTAGAGAGGTCCACAAAAGCTTAAGCAGAGCACTGCTCGTGGCCCCAACCTGGTGGTTGTCCTGAATGCTAGCAGAGACAAAAACAAACCTCCTCTGGAGAAGAATTCTCATCTTTGGGCTTGGGGAATTATGAAAATAAGTTATCAGCACAATGAGCAACACACAAAGATGATCACACAAACACGAGTCTATAAATAGAAAAATCTAAAGACTCTACATGAAGAGATTGTTAGATCTGGAAAATGTTTCATAAAGTTGCAAGGTACAAAATCAACATACAAAAAAGTAACATTTTTATACGCCAATAATGAACTTTTGGAGAAAAATCAAAAAAGTAATCCTATTCACAATAGGCCTGTTGAACCTGAGAAAAATCACTCAGAAGTTATACACATTATCACAAGGCCTTCACCCTTGGTTATCACTCAGGAGCATTTTTGCCCAGCAAGGGACATCTGGCAATGGCCTATATTTGCTTATGATAGCTGGGAGGGAGATTGCCAGTGGCATCTGACATGTAGAGGCCAAGAATACCCTACATGTTCTATACAATATAGCAAAGCTACCCAAAATGTCAGTAGTGAGAAACCCTAGATCAGAGATGCAAGTGGAAAAGTGAAAAGGCAGTGGGACTTCCAGGAAAAAGTCTAGGCAGGAGATAGAAGCTTGCTTATCACCAACAAATCGATGGTCCTCGTGGTCCGGAGGCTGCAAGGAGAGCAGCTGGATAGAGAAGAGGTCTGGATGCATGGTCCACTCCGAGATGAACAGACTAGAGAAGGAGTAGGGGCAGCAAAGACAGCTGAGAAGAAAAACCAAGAGTGAGGATTGGAAAGAAGTGTCAGAAGTTTGAAGAGAGAGGATCCGTGATAAAAAGGGCCACTTAGGAAAGTAGGGAAGTAAGCAAGGTAGGCAAGTATACTCAGGCCCCAGGGGAGGTAGTGGGTTTAAAACAAGACTAGTTACCCAGCCGCATGGATGCAGCCACAAGGCCTGCAGTTTAACCAGGGTGTGGTGGCTCTGCCAACCAAGTAAAATGAGCAGTCAGGACCAAGGGAACTGAGGGTGTGTGTGTGGAGTGACCATCATGCTAACTGTGGAATTTAAGCTTTGCAAGGAAGAGAAAACAGCAGGGGGTGGATGGGCTGTGAAAAGGTGGGAGAATCAATGGCTCACAGACTGGACAAAGGAGAAAATTGTTGGGTACTAGAGTAAGGCCAGAGAGAGGGTCATATAACTGAGATTATACATGGTTAAGGTGTTATGGGTCTTAAAAAAAAAAAATCTGAGAAGTGATTGACTTAAGACAGCTCAAGAAGGTGAGAAGCTGGGCTGTTAAGTCATCTACTTTAGTACTGACATCATAATGGGAGTAGTGGAAAGAGTGCCTGAGCAAAGGGAACTAAAACCATCAAGAACTTAGGGAAGTGATCCCAGGGCCAGGGGAGGATGGCAACACTGGGGAAAGTGGACCACAGGACTATAGGAGAGGTGATCTCATTTTCATGCATACATTTTACAATGAAAATACATTCTGATAGAAAAAAGTTACTGTAAAAATTGTGGGGTCACCTAAAATCCTCTTTTGAAATGGCCAAATACAGATGCATATATACACCTTTAAATACACCCCAATAAGACTCTTTGATACAGTCTCCAACTGAGTCACATGCTTCAGAAAAAAGCACTAAGAATAGTAAAAAATGTTTTGTTTTTGTTTTGGTGCTGGAGATTGAACTCAGAACCTCCTGCATGCTAAGAAAATGCTGTACCACTGAACTATAAGCAAAGCCCTCAAAGAGTAAAAACTTTCTTAAAAAATAAGCAGCAACTAATGAGGTATAAAGTAAATGGTCTATTAAAAATTATAGCTGGGCATGGTGGTGCGTCCCTGTAATGCCAGCATTTGGGAGGCTGAGGCAGGAGGATTGCCCAGAGTTCAAGGCCAGCCTAGGCTACATAGTGAGTTAAGACCACCCTGAAGTACAAAGGGAGACCCTGTCTCAAAAAACAAAAATTATGAAGCTGACTGGGCCATGCCTGTAATCCCAGCTACTTGGGAGGCTGTTGAGGCCAGCCTAGGCCTCAAAGACTCTGTCTCAAAGTAAAATAAAAAGGGTCAGGGATATAGCTCAGTGGTAGAGTGCTTGCCTACAGTATAGAAGGTTCTGGATTCAATCCCTACTACTGCCAAAAAAAAAAAAAAAAAAAAGATGGAGCTTGAGAATGCGGTCTGTCCTATCTTAATAAACAACACTAATGTATATCTACCCAGAATTCAAAATTGTTGTACCGAGTTCTATTAAAACACCAGAATTTTAAATGTTATAAGTGAGTCAACAATGATATACCTGATTTCACTTCCTCTTGAAAGTGAAAATTAGGAAACAGTTTCTGGAGCTTACTCCTTTGTGGAGGTAGGGAGGAGAAAAGACAAGAAAGAAAGAGGAAAAGTATGTTTTCAGAAGGTTTATTCATTCCTTTAGGTGAGGTGAATTCACTGGTTTTTAGTTTTGCTTAATGCCAACATTCTACATTTCTTCTTTGCCTCCCTCTTTAGAGACTTTATAAAGACCCAAGAAGAGAGGAAGCAGGAAGGAGGGAAGTCAATGGCAGAAAAAGCAAAGAATGACTTTACATTCAAGGTGTCCAGGACAATTTCACATGTGGCTAGGCTACCTGATACCAAGTCATAAAAGCCCAAACACAATTTAATGTTTGTATTCTCCCACTGAAGCGAATAGGGAAAGATTTACCCAACGAACACTGACCATTCTGTTCTGCTTCATGGCTCTAATTTGCAAAGCAGCAGGAAGAACCTTTGTGTGGGACACACACATGCTCAGCCCAACAACCACAGCCCTTTGTTCTTAGCTCAGTCTCCAGTCGCCATGGGTTTCTTCCCAGGGTGTCACAAGAACATTCTGATAAAGTCATGAATTTGAGGCAATTATTGGCCTCTTTCCACATGGGGAATATTAAGGCACAGAGAACTGAGACAAGTGATCAAAGTCCCAAGGAGCAAAGCCCCAGTTCCAAGTAAGTCCCTTGAACAATTTTATATTGCTACTTCCGTGCCTTCAACCAGGCCATGCTGTTCCTGCAGTTGCCTCCTTTGGAGCCCAGCTGTCTACACCCTGCCCCTCACTCCACTCAGGGGCACATGGTAGACTGGAAAGAGTGCTGGATTTGGTCTCAGAAGCTCTCAAATCAAAGTGCTGCCTCACCGACTTATTTATTAGCTATGTGTCCCAGAACAAGTTAGTGTGTCTGTTCATCTCAGTTTTTTCATGTAAAGCAAAGATAATGCCTGTTCAGCCTACTTCAGAATGTTTTAGAAAGAAGCAATTGCAGTCTGGGGAAGCTGAGGCAGAAGGATCACAAGTTCAAGTCCAGCTTGGACAATTTTGTGACACCCTGTCTTCTGAAAATAAAAATTTAAAAAGGGATGGGGATGTAGCTCAGTGGTAGTGCCCCTGAATTTTATCTTTCAGTATCATATGCACACACATACAAAAAGCAACTAAGAAAGCTGGGCATGGTAGCGCATGCCTGTAATCTCAGCTACTCAGTGAAATTTGTTATATTCTGGCTTTTGAGAGGTGAAATATAAATAAATTTCATAATTTATCAAAAAAAAAGGGGGGGGCTAAGGCAAGGAGGATGGCAAGTTTGAGGCCACCCTGGGCAACTGTCTCAAAAAATAAAATTTTAAAAAGTTAGGGATGTAGGTCAGTGGTAGGGCATTTTTTGTAGCATGTGCTGGGTTCAATGCCCAGCACTGCCAAAAAAATTAGAAATTAAAAAAACCCAAGAAACTAAGACAATACATGTAGAAGACCATAGTAAACTTCAAGAGCCACAAACTTTAAGAATCTTGTATTAGTCAAGGACCAGTTAGGTCCCACTTAATCCAGGAGCCTTCCAGCCTTTCAATCCAGCCCACACTGAGCTCTCCTTTGGCATTTCCTGCTGCAGTATTATCTCAGCACTTGATAGATTTTGTCTTATACTGTATTAGTTAAACATTTCTTGGTCAGGAACGTCTTCCCTCCACAGAGCCTAGCACAGCACTGTGAGCATGGCTGTGTTCCATATTATCAAGGCCATGAGTGAACTGTTGGAGCTGAGAGCTCTGTAACCACAGGCTCGTTTCCACAAAGAAAAGAAAAAGATTTCATTTATTTTTTTGGTGCTGGAATTGAACCCAGGGCCTCATTCATGCTGGGCACACTCTACCACTGAGTTGAGGAAAAAAAAATATTTTTTTTGTTCCAGACAAAAAAATTTCAAAGCTTCTCTGTGGTGTACAGTTATAGTCACAATGTAATAAGGATACTCACCAGGAGGGCAGGGTTTTCTGCTTAAAAGAAGAGAATTCACCATATCAACTGTTTAAAGAGGCCAAGCATAGGCCAATCACAGATAAGATCCCAGAGGCTCCTGCTAAGAGGTGCCCCAGAGGGAAAAATTTCTCCCCAAGTCTCTCCTGAGAGTAAGATGACCTCACAGCCAGCTGTGGTGGTGCATGCCTGTAATCCCAGCAGTCGGGAGGCTGAGGTAGGAGATTCGTCACAAGTTCGAGGCCAGCCTGAGCTACATAGTGAATTCAAGGCCAGTCTGGAATATATAGCAAGACCCTGTCCCATAAAACCAAACGAACAAAAAGAAAACAAAAAGACCTCACAGGGAAAATATTATTGGATACATTTGCACAGGAAGCTGCTCTTGTTTGGTTTCTACAGGAATAAAGACTTCCTGGAGGTTTTCTGTTTCTCCCAAGGTGGAGGGGGGGATATATGTACTCTGCATAAAGAATCCTTTCGTCAGCAGCATTTAGTAGCTTTCTCACAAAAACCCATCTACTGGTAACTGTTTACCTTATCTTTGTAAAGTAGGGTGCTGGGGCTTGGTCGGGGCTGGTCTTTGAATGAGTATGTGGCCACTTCTTTAACAGGTCCAGGAAGTCAGGAGGCTTGTACAGTGGAAGATCATTTATGACTGGATTGTTTCTTTGCACAAGAGGTGGCTTTTTCCTTCCTTCGTTTTTAAAATTGTAGGTTGCTATCACTGGATTTAATAGGGATTCTTCAATAAAAGTTTTCAAGTGATAAGAGTATTCTGTGGAAAATTGACATCGGTTTCAGATCTATTCTTCGAAGGGTCATTGCTAGGTAGCATTTCTCTTTGCACTCATGTTTAATGAAATTCTATCAAATATAATAAACACTCAACAGAATATTTCAAGAGAATCCATGATTATCTTTCTGAAACAATTGCTGCATTATCACTAATGGGTTATGCTTGAAGTTTAACTCTTTAAAAAGTAACTTCAGGGATATATCTGTTTGCAATTCAACTTTGACTATAGATTGCAGGCCTCTAGGGAGACTACTCAGGATAGTTTCTTGGCTAAGTAAAAGCTATCCTACTTTTGCTTAGCAGATACTATGTTCCTAACTGGCCCTCGGAGGGAAGCTAAAAAGATAACAATGTGAGCCTGAGGATGAACTGGCAGGGCATAAGGGCTACATAGTGCAAGAAGAGGTTTGGCACTTTCAAACCCCAACCACAATGCAGCTGAAAGGCCAGATCTGCTGTGTGAGTCACTGCTATTCTGTAGCTACCTTTCCACTGACCACTCAGCTCAGTTCTGCTATTAATTCAGTTCCAAGAAGGCTTTGAGCCATGGGCTCCCTCTTACTGAAGGGCGTTGACAGAAAATATGCAATACAGAAACCATCTCTTGAAAGGGTAATGTTCTGGTCATTTTTTCATATATTACCGTCTTGTTTTGTGCATTTTATTTATCGATCATGTTAACAAATGTTATAGGCTATCAGCGGTGGCGAACGTATGGCCTTCATGGTGCAGTGAGCACACAGAGCCCTCTCTGTCATCACACCGAGCAGCCAAACATCAGATAACAGCTGACATAGTGGAAGTGTTGGCACTGTGTGATAAATAAGTGGGTTTTGGGTTGCAGTTTGGGCACTTGGTCTCTAAAGGGTTTGCCATCACTGTTCTACACACAATAAAATTTGGAGCCAAATCACCTTTCCAGAATGGATGCTTTTCTTTCTTGTGCAATAGCACAAGATCATAGGATCAAATGTTGACCTTACCTAATATTCTGTAAAGCACCTGGATTCCTAGAGATGTTTTATTTTCTTAGCTTTCATTACACTCAAAATTTAAAGCTAATTTTTCATTCATATACTAAAATTCTAAATATGAAATTGGGTCTATGTAGATCTGAACCAGCAGTTTTCTTATAATAGTTACTGACTTAAAAGGTAAGGCTGATTAAAATCTTAATGGGAACAAAATAATTTGAACAGGAAAGACTGAAAATATACACACTGTTAATGTTGTTCTCCACCATTCTTCTCTTTGAAAAGATGAAGTCTTCCTCATTGGTTTCTAATAACAAACACAAAACACGTTATTCATTTGAGAGGTGATCCCTTAAAATTTATATTTACTTGGGGCCGGTGATTTAGTTCAGTGGTTTCGCCACCTGCTGCGCAAGCGCAAGGACCCGAGTTTGATTCCTGGTCCCCCCCCCATTTATATTTACTTAAATTAATCTCTGTACTGAATTGATAAGCCATTATTAAAAACTACACAATGATAAATTTTGTCCATATTTCATGATCTTAAGTGCTTTTAAATATCTAAATATCTTTGGTGAAATCAGAGTAATAAATATCCCCATCTCACAGAGATGTAAGGCTATTAGATGTGTTCTTAGGGAAAACAAAGAGCAGGGCTTGACCTGTAGCCCCTTCACTTAGCAGCTAAGTGCACTGGACAAATTATTCAGCTTTTCGCCCCTGCCTTCCTTGCAGGAGTATAAAGATGAGAAAAGGGTAGTGTACATACGGACCTACACCAACCAGCGCTCAATAATAAATGGTAGCTTTTATATTTAACACCTCACCTGCCAAGAAGCAGATTATTTTGGTATTTCCACAAAAGCTCTTATCTTCCATACTATTTATTATTTCATTTATTTCAAGCCCCACTAGCCACAGATTTTATAATGCTTTTGTTATAAGAAATATGGTTCACTTCAAGCAAGAGTGCATTAAAAATAATTTAATCCATTAAGACATCCTGGTATAATTCATCCTGTCTTGTAACTGAAATCCACTTATGTGTACAAGTACTGGGCTTTGGTTTTACTATGAAATGTGTGCATTTCTCTAAAATCATATGGCTTCATACATACTATTTGAATTTCTTCCTATAACATTCCTTTATCAGGTTTATGTTGAATCTTCTGTTGCACATTTTATAGTAACAGAAAGAAAGCTTTCCCAGGCAGGTCAAGACAGGCCTCCCACCTCTACCTAAGCACAGGGAAATGAAGGGGGAAGGAGACAAAGAGGCAAGTATGATAAATCCAAAGGAAGGTTAACTGGTAGCCTGCTGTTTCGTTTGGCCCAAGGCAGGTGACTTAAAATCCACCCATTCTACATTTCAAATTCACTTTTAAAGGAGAAAGATAAACAATACCTTAAACATCTTTCATCCAAATTTATTTAAAAACTAAAGGCAATTTCAAAAATGTAAAAGTACTGAAGTAGGAAGCAGGGCAAAATGTGTCTAATAGACTAGGGAAGAAAAAACATTCAGTAGGAGGGGAAAAGCTGAAACATAATCTCGCCCTACGAGAGCAATTAATTGTGGAAAGAAGGAAACTACTCAGAAAACAAAGGATGAAGGGGAATGGTATGGGAGAAAGGAAAGGGAAATAAAGCGCAGGAAAGATCAAGTGGTTAGGAAGATGGGACAGTGGCGTACTGTGTTATGTGAGGGCAGCGAGAGAAGGTGTAGGAAGAGAGTAGAAGGGCTCAGAGACTGCACACCAAGAGGGAGTGGGAGAAGGATGAGGAGATGGTGGCGGGAGGCAAGTCCATGGTACCGAGGCAGTCACTAGCGGATCTCCATGCCTCAGGTCTTCTCTTAATACTGTGTTGGAGGGGATGGCGATGACCGGCTGTTCCATTACGGCCTGGACTCTCCCTACTCTCCCCGGCGCAGCATCCGGTTGCTAGGAGGCACAGGCTGCCGCCTCCCGAGAGCGCACAGCGCGGGGGGACCTGCACGTTCTTCTTCGGTGGCTGGAGTAAGGGAGGCGGGCACATGGCGAGGCAATCCCTCGAGAGCCTTGCACACGTATGGTAAGAAAATCTAGAGGGTTCCAGGGTCGCCAAGAGCCTCCGGGTAAGTACAAGTCAAGGAGGCTTGTCCGGGTTTGAGCACACCCACCATCTCCATCAACTCCATCTAAATCACCTTCAATCCCGCACCCCCTGCAGGAGGTGCTTCATTGCACTTTTAGGCAGAAGTATGCTTTAGCAGTCTCTAAACTGCCAGCAGAAATCGGGCTCACTTCTGAGTTTGAGGAGTGAGCACTATAGACAGCACTAGCTGTGAAACCACAAACCACCCTTCTTCTGTATAGACCCTTCTCTGTGGGCCTCTCTTGACTGTAGCTTCTTCACTTAGAAATATTCTCCTCTTCAAAAACAAGCAGTCCTGGGCCAGGGATTTAGCTCTGTAGTTCTGCTGCTTGCCTCGCAAGCACAAGGATCCGAGTTCAATCCCTGGTACCAAAACCAAAAAAACCCAAAACTGTCCCTCCACCTTAATCTGATTTTGGAGTACCTGTGTTCTTTGCATGTAACACACATTAATTTCGTTTGATCCTCACCTCACAACCCTGCAAAGCAGGCCTCAGTCCCATTTTATGAGATGATTCCTTTGACAGCTGAGTTAACTCAGTATCACAGATATGACAGCCAAAATTTAAATCTAGATCAGTTTTGGCTTTCAGACTTTCAAAATGTGGACTCAATTCTTTCAATTCCCATACTTTCCAACTCATAACCTGACATGCACACATGCCTATTAAAACTGCACTAATCCAGTGACCCAACTGCCAAACCCAGTGGGCATTTTCTACTCTTACTAAAGCTCATCTCTTTTTCATTGCTGTAGTGACCGCTCCCCTTCATTCTTTTTTTTTTTTTTTTTGTACCGGGGATCGAATTTGGGACCTTGCCCTTGCAAGGCAGGCGCCAGAACCACTGAGCTAAATCCCCGGCCCTCCCCTTCATTTGAGTGCTTTTCCTTTGACCACCAGGATTTGAACTCTGGCTCCATTTCCTATTGTTCTGTACTGTGTTCTTGTCTATAAGAAGAGAGGTATTAAAGTAATCCCTACCCACCTGGGTTTATGATTCAAATGCCTGGTACCACTTTAAGACAAAAGCGAAGTTCATAATTCAAGCTCTACCCTCTTCTCTCCCTCACCAGAACTTCATGCTCTGGTGTATGATAAATCCAGTACATCTCCAGAATTCTGTCTCAACAGAGACAGCTCAGAGCAGTCCTCCTAAGCCTACTCCATCATGTCCCAAAGACGCTGAACCTATTTTCTTTGAGGATTCATTCTGACAAATTGTTTCTCCTAGTATTTATTTTTACTTTTGAGACAGGGTTTCAACTATGTAGATCATGCTGGCCTTGAACTCACTACAGTATGTGCCTCTGTCTCCCAAGTGCTGGGATTACAAGACATGCATCACACCACATTCAGCTTCTAATTTTAGACATTCCCAAAATATGATTTTTAACTCTGAACCCTTGGAACACAGTAGGGACTAAAATATTTGAATGACTTTTTTTTCCCCCCCTAAACTAAACCAGAGGATAATATAGCAGTACCATTCAAAAATGTACAAACATCTGGTCATCTTGATAAAATGGAAACTGATTCTGCTCCCAGGGCAGGGCCTAAGATTCTCCAGCTCTTTTCCTTTATGCTGTGCTGGGGATAGAACTCGGGACATCATACATCTACCACTGAACTACTCCCAGCCCAGATTCTGTACTTCTAACCAGCTCTCATCACTGTGGGTGACCTTTGAAGACTAAAGCTAGAGGACTTCATCTAGTTTCTCTTGAAATACGGGGATTCTAAACTCACTTTTTAAAAGGGGCCAGGAACCAAGTTTAAAATGAATTGAAACTAGGCAGCCAAGAGAGAAGTAAACACAAGCTCTCATAAACTTAAACAGATCAAATCTACCCGTGCCTTCATTTCATTTTCTTATTTTGGCTGAGCCTATGAAACTGGCTCAGCAGGCTAGGGACTGGGACCTTAGAGACTAAAACAATGTATGAAAGGTACAGAGAAATCCAGAAACCCACACAAGGTGTGAAAATTGAAGAGAACATCTTGATGAGAAAATAGTTCCTAAGTCTCAAAAATAGAAACAGCATGGGTCAATGATTTCAAGGACTTTACCAATAAAACAGGTGGAACATGTAGGATAAACAAAATGTCCTCCAGAGAAAATACTGCCTTGTACAGGACCATTATTTTCAGGGTAACCTAAAAGTAACTCTACCATTAAAAAAAATTTTCCCTTTCTAAAAACTAGAGAAAATACATAATATTTGAGGATAATCTTCCATAGGGATAGTTTATCGACAGAATTATCTGAAACCGAACATGCTAGACTGTATTACATAAAGAATTAACAAGTACAACTCTGCTAGTATAAAGTGATCAAGTGGAAGTTGACATTTTAAACCCATAGCTCCCAGATACATTCATACTGTAGACAAAGTAAAAGAAATGAACCCAATGCAGATCAGTTAAACTGCAACTATTCCAAAATTTTCAATTTCCTGTAGAATCAAGATAATGCCTACTTTGTGAACTTGTAAAATTATAATATAAAATCACCACCTATGTTTTAGACACATGAATCCAAAGTATGTGCTTCCCCTTTTACATCTTTGCCATTCCTATCTTGGTATTAATTTATATGAACCTCAAACTCTTGAAACTGAAAAAAATACCATTAACTGCCCAATCCTTTCATTTTATAGGGGCTGCAACTGATTTAACAGCATGGTAACACTGAGCACTTACTGCACATGCCAAGGACTGTGCTGACTGGGCCTCATTTCAGTAAACCCTATAAAAAAAGCCTATCAGAAACAGATGAGTACCTTATACCCAATTTACCAAGTAAGATAACTGAGGACTTCCTTCAGGATCACACATTGCTGCAATCACTCAAAATGCCTTTACTTCACATGCTGTTTTTGCCTTGGCCAGAATTCTTATAACATCTAATGGAGGAGGGCACAGTACAGTGAATATCTAAATTCTTCCTAATTGATCAGCTAATATGTGCTAACATGCTCATAGGATTATCAACGCCTGTGACTTCCCTTGTTTTAAGATGATGGGGCAGTAACCCACCAAGTAATAAATTGTCCCCTGGAAAATCCAAAACTTTACAGGGATATAGTAAACAGGGAACAACTATACTCAATGTTTCTTTCATCATTTAAAAGGTGGTTTTACGCCTGCCTCGAAAGCAGAAGGTCCCGAATTCGATCCCCAGCACAAAATAAATAAAAGGTGGTTTTAAAGAAACCAAACCAAACCTGTTAACCACTTCTGAGTACCTCAAAGAGAAAGCAATGACAGAAATCAAGCAAAAACTGAAACAAGGCTTAGTCACTGCCAATCTATTCCAAAGCACTTTTTGTATAACATGTAGGGTAGGCAAAGCTGAAAATTCTCCTGTCTCCTTTGTGTTGATGAATAAAAAAGTACAGTAAGTGAAATACTAAGAAATAAGAGGTAAAACCATGGTGATCTTCCTGTCAAAAAGATGTGGATTTTATTTTGAACGCACAAAATTTATTGCATGACTGAAGTCAACATGGACACATACATGACAAAGTTGAAAAATTTATTAAATGGTAGGAAACATGTAACCACCTACCTGACAATGACTCAACTGTAGACTCACAGGTTTTAAATTCTTTCATTTAAACCTTTTGAAGGAAGTTTCACCCTCATTCAAAAGCAAAATACAACCTTGAATAGTAAAAAATTCATTTGGATTATACCATGGAAAAACCAATTCCATATTTTACCTTCAAACATTTGACTTCCAACAGTAATTAAAGGAGTCAGATTCAGAGCAACAGTTGGGTAAATTGTAATTTTTTTATTGGAAAACAAATATACAACTTGGAATGGATTTGAGGCAAATTGTGCCATAAGCAGATTTTTTTTTAAGTGGCTAAACAAAGTTTAAAAAGCAAGTAACAATAAAAGAAAATGTTTCTGGTACAAGACCCGCAGTACAAAAAAATAGTGTACGAGTACCTGGATAATACACCCGTTTTGCAATAGTGCAACTTTTAAGTACATATTGTTGACCATAGTCCACGCAGAGTTACAACTCCACACTTCAACAACAACATGCTGACAATTCCTAAGAAAACTACTTTAAAAAAGGCATAACCCAGATGTTCCCTCATTTGACCAACTCCATCTAAGTTCAGATGTGCAGAAGGGCTTAGATATATCCAGAGTAAGCCACATGCAACATGTGTTACTTGATCAATTTTCTAAAATAAGGTTTTAGGACAATGACAGTAAGATAAGGGAAGAAAACATGGAGGAATGAAGTCCTAATTACTATACATGCATATTTTTTGGACAGTAGGGGGAAACCTTTTACAGATAAGTTACAAACAAAGAAAAGGCAAATAAACAATTTTGTACAAGAAATTTAACACATTCTGTACAATGTCTTCACTTTGCTGTCATCATTTGTACAAACTCTGAAAAAGAGAAAATTTAGTTAATGGCGAAAGCTGGACAAATAATATTTACTCATTACTGGACAGTCTATATACCCTTTCATTCAGAATATAAAGTACAGAAGAAAGCTTATTTACTGCTAAGGTGGGAAATTTATAAACTTCAATTATTCAGGATTATTAATGTGTACGCCAAATTAATATTTTGGATAAGCCATGATAAAAGTAGCATTCATGGCTCTTAGTTTAGATTTACATTTGAAGTCTGTGTTGCTACTCAATATTGTAAGAGTGCAATAACTAGGCTTACTTTTTTGAATGTTAAACATTATGCTACTTTCTAAATTGAGTAGTTACATCATGAAAAATACAAGTGAAAGCGTTAAGTAAAGCTTTCCCTGGAAATCCTTTCAATTCCTGAAGTTTCTATATCCTGAAATAGTCATTCCCAAGTTTATAGTCACATATGGTACATGGAATTCAAGCATATTCAAACAGTTTCAGATTAAAACCAATTACAGGGGGAAAAAAAAGAATCCAGTGTAGACACTCAGTCTCTTCATTTTAGGGAATTCAGTGCCTATTCAGGCTCATTCTGAATAGCAATAGGTTAGGTAAACATTTACTATGTTAGCGACCTAATTTTGAGAAGGAAAGGTCACCAATTTTGACCTGAGATACCTAACAAGTACTTTTTTTTTTGATACCAGGTATTGAACTCAGAACCTTGCACTTGTAAGGCAGGCACAGTACTACTCAGCTAAATCCCTGGCCCTCCTAACAAGTCCTTTTAACTTAAAAAAAAAAAAAAAAAAAAAAAAAAAAATCTGAGCATAAAATAAAGGAGTAAGAGTTGAGGGGAAAAAAAAAAGAGGTGACTTACCTTCATAGTTTACTTGACCATCACCATCGATATCTGCTTCCCTGATCATTTCATCAACCTCTTCATCTGTTAACTTTTCTCCAAGGTTTGTCATCACATGGCGAAGCTCAGCTGCACTAATATAACCATTGCCATCCTAGAGAAAAGTTTAGTATATCTAAAATTAAGAGTTGCAATGACAATTTAAGAAATTTAAATCTCACACTTGAGAGAAATACACACTTCATAGATTTGCTGGAGTTTGTATAGATTTCTAAACAGCTGATCTATAAAGTGTCAGTAAGCAGGATGTCCCTATTCATTAGTTCCAAAATCACGATACCTCTTTGCCAGAAGATTATCGCAATACATGTTATTAGAAAGTCTAAGTTCATACTGAATTCTTTTTTTTTTTTTGGTACCGGGGATCAAACTCTGGTCCTTGAACTCGTGCAGCAGGCAGCGAAACCACTGAGCTAAATCCCCGGCCCCTAAGTTCATACTGAATTCTTAAAAGCTTTTCTTTGACACAAATCATCAGAGGCACAAGTCTCAAGGGGTAGAGGGCCCTGATAGCTTTCCTTCAACCTCAAAATTTTAAGACAGTCCTTTTAATACCTACCTTATCAAACACACGGAATGCTTCTCTAATTTCTTCCTCACTGTCTGTGTCTTTCATTTTTCTTGCCATCATTGTCAGAAATTCAGGGAAGTCAATTGTACCATTACCTGAAATCATTTAGTTGAAACATTAAGTAGATTGTAAATACTTCTTCAAGCAATCCCACTCCCTGAAATTGAAGACTTACCATCAGCATCTACTTCATTAATCATGTCCTGTAACTCTGCTTCTGTGGGATTCTGCCCAAGAGATCTCATTACAGTTCCCAATTCCTTTGTTGTTATAGTTCCATCACCATCCTTGTCAAATAGTGAAAAAGCTTCTTTGAATTCTGTTTGAAAGACCACAATCCAAATACATGTTAACAATAAAAAATTCCCAAATGAAATGTACATAACTAAGAAAGCAAGATATTTAATGGAGGTAACTGAAATGAGATTTTGATTTCTAACAAATCAGAAAACCTCATGAAAATATTTCAAACATCTGTCCAATCATACTAGTTTATTCTCTAAGCTACCAGCGAGTTTTACATGTAAAATCTCTCAGGGAAATCACAACTAGTTTAGATAAAAGTAAAATTATTCTAGGTTGAAAGAGGAAATGCCTCAAATCCTCAAATGACTAGCTTGTCTGTTTTCCAATGAAGCTACTCTGTGTAATGTACTTCAAAACTATGGATCTAATTTCACAATAGAAAAATGATACTAAATACTACATACTTTTATAGAGTAATAATTCTGTTTACCTGCATTATGCTTAGTATTAACTGCAAAGGTTAAAACAATATATAAAATCAATAACCTATTAAATTCAAACCAAAATACTTTAAACTTACTGTCCAATTTAGAAAGACAAGGGGCTATCATCAATAGTCTATACAAATTAACAAAATTGGTCGGGCCGGGGATTTAGCTCAGTGGTTTCTCCACCTGCTGTGCAAGTGCAAGGACCCGAGTTGGATCCCCAGTACCAAACCAAACAAAATTGGTTAATCAAGATAAGTTTTAGCGAGGTGCTGCATTTCTAAGAACAAAGAAAATTTAGATCTTTTTTCAGAACACGAAACTCTAAGCTTGTAATAGAGTGAAATATATTATTCCTTAAGGTCTTCTTTGATATTTCATTACTTCTAACTCAGCACCAGATCTGAAAACCTGGTAGAGCCAACACTCCATACTACCTGGCTTTGACATTTATTTTCAGATAGAAAAACTAAGAGATTAAACTTTGTACAAGAGTACACCAATGAGTTAATAGCAAAGCTATTATTTTCCCAAAAAGGTACTTTCTAACTAAAGAGACTATTATATCCTATCCGCAAACAAATATCAAAGCAGTTCCGAAGTTCACTGGCCCATTAAACTTTCCTAACATATCTATCCAGTTGAAAACATGCTTAAGCATCTTCTCTAACAGTTCAAGGTCATTTATTCCCTGTCTATCCTTTTTTTTTTAGGGAGTCAAACTTGTAGCTTTCTTTTGACAGTGCTAGTCAATTTCACTCCCAAAAATTCAAAGAAGCCTAAAGCTATTTCAATCAAATTGATCCACTCCGAGATAAAGAACTGACTCACAACAAAATCTTTAAGATTCCCTAACTCCCTGTTAGTCAATTCACAAAATAATACCAGCTCTAAGAATTTCCAGTCCCAATGTCTCATAGCAAGAAAGGTCTCAAATTGGACAGCTTCCAGGAAAGCTCATTACCCTCTGGTAACTTTCTCACCGTCCTTCTCAATTCTTTATTCCATTTATTTTGTTACAATATTATTGTTGTCTTTCATCTTTAGAGAACTGGGAAGGAAGAAAGTGATTACAGTCAAAGAAAGCACTTTCTTCCCATCATTTATCAGACTAGAACTATCCTTCAAATTCTATCTTTGCCCTTTCCTCTATTACACAAAATACCCACTGGGCCAGCAACCACTTATACATCTACATGTCAGCATTCCCTGTCTATCCTTGATCCAATTCACAACACTTTCTAGATCTTATTAGTCATACCTTGGTGCTCTGCTTTGCAATTTTTAGTATTCAATAAATTTCAATGTGAAAATTTTGTCTGGCACTCCATCATCTGTTTGATAATCAGCATGCAAGCTAGAACATGAATGTGGTTTCAACTGCACCATATGACTTTCTATCCTCTACAGCCAAAACAATTAGATTGATACTCATCACCTTCTGTCATCTCACCTCCTAGAACCGATTAACAATGAGTGCCAAAATACCACTGTATCTCAACTACTCTACTGAGTTTGCCCATTAACATATAAGTATCTTTGACTCCTAGCCTAAACTAACCTTACGTACCTGCCCTTATCTTTCACCAAATTATGGAGAGTACCACTACTCTTTCAATTCATTATTAAAACCACTGTATCAACTCATCAACTGAGCATGCTAAATTCAACAATAACCACCTAATTGTCTACAATCCCTCCAGTAACTTTCAGTATTTCGCCAAGTGGCATAGAAACTAAAGTAGGCTTTGGAACTTGACTTCCTGCTTCAAACCATCTCAGCCCTGCTACTTAGTAGCAATGTAAACATGGAGGGACTTTCCTGCCCTCAATTTTATTTTTGTTAAGTGAGGGTAGCTGTACCTACTTCCCAAGTTTAAGAATACTTGTAACTGAGCAAGGTGACAGATGCCTGTAAATTCCAGCTACTTGGGAGGCTAAGGG